GGACTGCCCGTATGGGTGGGACCAGTCTGATATGCTTCAGATATGTTCTCTCTGTAATGGCACCAGTTGAGGTAAAACCAGCATGAGTGGGGACCCACCGAAGGGCAGGCTATTTTTGCTGCTGTCCGTTCTCAGAATACTCTTGCGACCCATTGTTTGCTCTCCATTAGTCTAAAGGGTAATCCAGACGTGGACCCCTTGCTCACGGTGCTTAGAGAGATATCAGCTATGCCTCACTGACGATGCCTAACAAGGCTGAAACGATCGTCTGGGGTTGCTGTATCTCTCGTGCAGAGAGAACTTGCTGGCATTTCGGGTCTGGATTGCCGTATGGTTGGGACCAGTCTGATATGCTTCAGATATGTTCTCTCTGTAATGGCACCAGTTGAGCTAAAACCAGCATGAGTTCTGAGCGGGGACCCACCGAAGGGCAGGCTATTTTAGCTGCTGTCCGTTCTCAGAACACTTTTGCGACCCATTGTTTGCTCTCCATTAGTCTAAAGGGTAATCCAGACGTGGACCCCTTGCTCACGGTGCCTAGAGAGATATCAGCTATGCCTCACTGACGATGCCTAACAAGGCTGAAACGATCGTCTGGGGTTGCTGTATCTCTCGTGCAGAGAGAACTTGCTGGCATTTCGGGTCTGGACTGCCCGCATGGGTGGGACCAGTCTGATATGCTTCAGATATGTTCTCTCTGTAATGGCACAAGTTGAGCTAAAACCAGCATGAGTTCTGAGCGGGGACCCACCGAAGGGCAGGCTATTTTAGCTGCTGTCCGCTCTCAGAATACTCTTGCGACCCATTGTTTGCTCTCCATTAGTCTAAAGGGTAATCCAGACGTGGACCCCTTGCTCACGGTGCCTAGAGAGATATCAGCTATGCCTCACTGACGATGCCTAACAAGGCTGAAACGATCGTCTGGGGTTGCTGTATCTCTCGTGCAGAGAGAACTTGCTGGCATTTCGGGTCTGGACTGCCGTATGGGTGGGACCAGTCTGATATGCTTCAGATATGTTCTCTCTGTAATGGCACCAGTTGAGCTAAAACCAGCATGAGTTCTGAGCGGGGACCCACCGAAGGGCAGGCTATTTTAGCTGCTGTCCGTTCTCAGAATACTCTTGCGACCCATTGCAAGCCCTGAAAAGTCCCTGACGCGCGCGTTTCGCCCACTTAGCTCATCAGAGGGGAACCGATCGAAGGGGAATGCCGGGTATAAATAGGAGGGAAGGATCAGTGATTGGACAAAATAAATGGTTCTGAGTGGATGCAGAGAAGTGACATCATAAGGGGTGTATGTTTCCCTAATGCCGGCCGTAAGGGGACTTAACCCCTGAAGTGATTTAATGAATGCAAAATAGAAACCAAATATTAGTATATTGAAGGAAAATCCAAAATTAACAAATGGGGGGGCGTGTCCGGCGGCCGAGGAAGATGGACGCCTAACACCAGAGCTCCTCGTGGCGCCCGCCTTAATAACGCATACCCGCACGCACTCAGCCCGTTCACATACCTGATATGGGTCGCACAAGGAAGCAGTCGGACCCCACCGGCACCCCGAGACCCTCGGGCCGCGAAGGGGAGCACTCTATACGCTCCTACCTCCAGGCCGCAACCCGCGCCCATTCACCGCAACGGGAGGAGGAGGCCGCAAGCCAGGAACTGGATTCCTTCCCCTCCACGCCGGCCAGGATGTCGCCGGTACCGTCGAACATGTCGGAGTCACAGCTTCCACAGGAGGGTGAGTGGAAGGCCATACTCCCAAATCTGCTCACCAAGGCAGACTTTGAGGCCTTATCTGACCGTCTGGGCCGCGTGGTGAGGGAGGAGGTGGCTCAACTCCGTGCTGACCTGGCTAATGTGGAAGCACGTATGTCAGTGGCAGAGTCTGAGACCAGGTCACTACGCACTGACCTGGAGCAAACGAATTTGGCCGTAGCTAATCAAGAAGCAGACACTGCTAACCTCACCACCTGGATCGACGATCTGGACAACCGCGGCCGCAGGCTGAACTTGCGGATCCGCGGGATGAGGGAAGGAGGTCCAACAGAACACGTACCAGACGCACTACTGCGCTTGTTTACCCAGGTACTGGGGGGCCAACAATTGCCCAGACTCTGCATAGTCAGGGCGCACAGGGCACTGCGGCCGGTACCGGCACCGGAAGAACAACCTAGGGATATCATATGCTGCCTAGAAAACTACCAATTGAAGGAGGATATACTGCGCACGGCCCGCCGCATGGGAACCATCCGCTTTGAAAGCCAAAACGTATCAATATACCAAGATTTATCAAGGTACACCTTGCAGGCTAGAAGGGCCCTACGCCCGGTAACATCCGCTCTACAACAGGCAGGAATACCGTACAGATGGGGCTACCCATTTTCCCTATCGGCCAGACACGGCCCAGATCAACTGGTGGTAAGGAGACCAGAAGACCTCCCAGGTTTCCTCCGAGCCATGGGCCTCCCGCTGCTTCAAGTTCCCGACTGGCTGGCAAGGTCGTTTCTCCAACCTCCGCCAGGACCACAACTACCACGCAGGCCAGACCAAGGTCCCCAAAGACCCCAGCAACAACGCCGCAGGGACTGGAATCCGGGCCCGGCAAGGCGCGAGCAGGAGCACTAATGGACTGTCACTCGGAGAAGCAGGACTCATGAGTCGGGGACCTGCTTGCAGCCGAGAGGAATGGACAAAACCGTGAGTACTGCTTGGGGGGACACATGGACACATACTAGCCACTTAGGCAACAGCTTGGGTGGGGGACGGGGATACGGGGCCACAGTACCGCAGCGCACCATGCGACATGGGGACTTCCAAACACGGGGGATCCATACTACGGCACTTCACTTTGCACGGGGGGGCTTACTCAGGACACTTGGGGAGGGATACGGGGTCTAGCCTCTACGCAGGCACTGCTAAAGCCGGACTGATTCATAAGAACTGTGAACTGCTGGTCTTAAAGTTCGAGCCATTCAACAGGGAGCCACAAACGGTGTAACACCCGAGCCAAAATAGCCAGCATACCAATAGGGAGAGGAGCTAGAAGGGCACCCCATGTGAATCTGAGCTGAGGACGGAACGTTTCCTCCACTGAACAAGGTCCTGAGCCAGATGCTCTATTACGGGGCCCCATTGGGATTCTCCCCTAAGGCAAGGCTCTTACCCTTATTGCTCTACACCAGTGGCCCTGTGACAACACGCACCCCCTCAAGGGACTCAATGCAAACCATAACCAACCAGCCAGTGTTTAGATACGCTGGCCTACTTGTGAAATCAAGCCTACTCCTGACTGCCTACCCACTTTCATACTCTGCACAGTTTATTGTCAGTTAATGGTAATGTCAATGTTTACTCTATCCCGAAGTGCACTCAGTGGCAAACCGGGAAAGATACCCTCTGTACATCTTTGCTTACCACCTACGCTGTGAGGTTCGCCCACCCCCCTCCGCCCCCTGTGAATATACTCCGTCCCTTGCTGAGGGGGGGGAGGTATGACTGGCATACACGCGGGGGGAGAGGTGGGCTTATCGGGGGGGGGATTGACACATGGAAAGGTAACAGGGGAAGGCAGGGGACAGGTGGCAGAACGTAAGGCAGAGGGGGATGGGAGGACAGGGGACGAATACCCCAAGACACCGCCTAAAGGCACCAGGGAGGGAGAGGGGGGACATACGAGGGAGGGGGGAAGGGGAGGAGGGGGGGGGAGAAAAAGACCCCAGACGACTAATCTAAGGAAGACTAAGCGACAGCCCATAGGTTGACCTACACACGACCACCCCTATCGGACCCCAGAGGGAAAGTTGGGACCCAGCCCGCCGCATAGGCCGCACACTGCAACACACGCTCGCCTAGCCGTAGAGCGGCCCCTGCTATGGCCTATAACACTGACGCCACTATAGCGGCGGAGACCCAACACACCATAGTAGGGGCAGCCACACTGACACGCCGAAGTGATAGGACGCACAGAGACCACGCCCCGAGCACACAGGACCCACACTCCCCTCACAACCATAAGACCGGAGAGAAACGAGAGATCAAGGGTCGACGCATGCCCAGACACTAAAGACCACCCACCCAGAAACCACACCTGCAGGACACTACTTGCAGACCACACCAGCAGAGCCAAACCCCACCAGACACACAGCTACAACCTGCATGCCCCCAAGCAGGGACTCACAAACCGTGACCATGCCCGCGACATGACACACTGGTCGAGTGACACCACTGCAGCGCAGAGCGCTCGGCCAACTGAGAAATACGACGCACTGAGAAATGACCCGCATACACCGACCCGCGTACGCACTATAAAGAACGGACGGAGCGGCTGCTCCAGCCACATAGCCACCAAGGAGACAGGTGACTACATACCACGTATTGTACACGGTACCACACTCCACACCTACACGGAATCGCAGACGCCTAAGGGCGGCCCGAACTTACTCGGACGAATAACCCGACCCCCCCCACAGGCATAGGACATAAAAGTCCCCACTTAGCAGGGGACGAACCACTCCCGACACCGACACAGGCACACCACTGGGTGTGACCTGGAGGCCGAACACTCGGGACGCTTGTCCGATTCCCTTTACACACGTAAAGACTAAATAGACAGTAATTACCTACACAGCCACATTCTGTACCCGGACGCACCGCTGACTGCACCAAATAACACACGTATACACTTTTAAGACTTGCCACCTCGCCCCCTCGGTCCCGCCTGGACGATGCCGACGCCGGGATCCAGCGGATTCGCCAGGGAGGACTTATGCATAGTCTCCTATAATGTCCACGGCCTGAACGTCAGAGAGAAACGCACAAGACTACTGCGTGACCTGAAACATTATAAGGCTTCGATAGCATTCCTCCAGGAAACACACTTCCAGGAAGGTAGGGCACCTGCCCTGAAAGACCGTAACTTCCCAACGGGATACTTCAGTCACAACCCAGACAGACGCTCGCAGGGAGTATGCATCCTCTTTTCACGAAGAGTTCCGTACATGGAGCGAGCCTCCGTAAGATGCAAGCACGGCAGATACCTTTTCACAAAAGGCACAATCCTAGACCAAACGTATACGTTCGCTAATGTGTACGCTCCGAACACTAAACAATATCACTTCCTACGCGATACATTGAACACTCTGATGAAATTCGCAGAGGGCATCTTGGTCATAGGCGGAGATCTCAATCTAGCGATCCATCCAGACCAGGACTCAACATCCTCGCATGGGAACACACCACACAACAGGCATGCCAACACCCTCCGCCTCCTACACCTCCACCAGCTCGCAGACTGCTGGCGGGCATTACACCCCTCCACCCGGGACTATACGTTCTACTCTACGACCCACTCGACCTATACAAGACTGGACTACTTCCTGGTACCCCACCACACCCTAACCCTGCTCACCACCGCGGAAATCTTACCTATGACATGGTCGGACCACAGCCCAATCCGCATACGACTGAAATCACCACTACATAAACCCAGACAAATGTCATGGCGACTGAACGAATCACTCCTATCAGACATCGCGGTTGTAGACCAGATCCATCAACACATCCAGGTGTACTTTGAAGACAACGAAACGGGGGATGTTACCCCACTGACGTGCTGGGAAGCGCACAAAACGGTTATTCGAGGCCAGCTCATCGCGATATGTGCGACTCGCAAGAAGAGGGCGACACAGACGATACATGACCTCAGCACGGAAATTGAGATGTTAGAGGCCAGACACAAACGCACCTTAGACGCGACGACCTACGAGGAGCTACTGTCCAAACGGAACCAACTTACCACACACCTGAACCGCGCAATCCAACGCTCATACCAACATTATAAACATGTGATCCATGAACACGGGGACAAATGCGGGAGACTGTTAGCGAATCTCCTGAAGCAACGCAGGAACCATCTATATATCCCGAAAATCAAGGACGCACAACAACAACTCAGACACTTACCGGAACAGATTTCGGCAGCATTCCATGCGTACTACCAAAACTTATACGGCCTCCGACACACCGCCCCGGAGATGCCAAGAACCCAAAAACTAGAGGACATTCGCAGATACCTGGATGCAGCTGATATACCGGGAATAGGGGAAGTAGACCAGGAAGCACTAGAAGCCCCCATAACCCCAGAGGAGCTAGCGCAAGCCATCAAAAAAGCAAAAACGGGCAGAGCACCAGGACCAGATGGCCTACCCCTCCAATATTATAAAACCTTTGCAGGGGACCTAATACCGAAACTCTTGGCGGCACTGAACTCGGCCCAGGACGGGGCCACACCAACGGCCCAATTCACCTCTGCGAACATTACCCTCCTTCCGAAGGAAGATAAGGACCGGACACTATGCCCAAGCTATCGCCCGATCTCTGTATTGAATACGGACCTCAAATTACTGGCGAGTGTACTGGCGGCACGCCTGGCACCGTTACTACCGGCCGTAATCCACCCGGACCAAACAGGTTTCATACCTGGCAGGGAGGTACGGGACAACACTATCAGAGCCCTGAACCTCATAGCACACGCGAAAGCGCAGAAGATCCCAGCCCTACTCCTGTCTACTGATGCTGAAAAAGCGTTCGATAGGGTGGACTGGGACCTGATGTTCGAAACTCTCCGCTCCCTCGGCATCGGACCCAATTATATGACATGGGTGCAGACACTCTACACCAACCCAACGGCGCGCATCCGGATAAATGGCGCACTGACAGACCCGTTTCAGATCTACAACGGCACCAGGCAGGGATGCCCACTCTCGCCCATACTCTTTGCACTGACACTGGAGCCCTTCCTCAACAAGATCAGACACAACGCAGACATCCGGGGACTGACAGTCAGAAACGTGCACCACAAAACGCTGGCGTACGCGGATGACATGTTGTTCGTGGTTACGGACCCGGAGACGTCCCTTCGAGCGATCCAGACGGAATTCGACGTGTATGGCAACATCTCGAACCTCCGAATTAACTACACAAAATCGGAGATACTAAACATAACTACCAGCCAAACCATCAAACGCGTGATTCAGGAACAACACTCCTACCGCTGGCGTGACCAACGCATGAAATATCTGGGAATATGGCTTACGCCCAATCCGGTAGACCTGTACACCCACAACTACCTCCCGATATTGAGAAAGGCAACGGAGGAACTACAACGATGGGGCTCCTACTACATCTCCTGGCTGGGCAGAGTGAACGCGGTGAAGATGACGCTACTGCCGAAACTACTCTTCATATTTCAAACGGTGCCGATAAAAGTCCCACGAACATTCTTCTCGACACTTAAGACGGAGGTCCGCACCTTTATTTGGAAGGGCAAATCCCCACGCATAGCGCACACCCAACTGATCTTACCCAAGCTCCGGGGGGGCTTAGCACTCCCAGACTTCGAAAAGTACTACCACGCAGCACACATCACCAGGGTCATCAGCTGGTCGATAGCCAGCGGCACCAAGCAGTGGCCACAACTAGAAGCTGGCATAACCAACTGCGACCTCAGAACCCTACCGTGGATCACCAAGGCAGCATATAGAAGCAAATGCATCACCAACCCATTCGTGGCGGCGACCATGCAAATGTGGCATGGGCAAGGCACGAAACGATACCTCACCACGGACCCAGGCCCGCTCCTACCCCTGAAGGGTAACCCAGATTTTCCGGCTGGAGACTACGGCCCAACGCTGGGCCCAGCAAGACGCAATACGATACCCCGCATAAAAGACGTTCTCCACCAACCATTTGACATCCGGCCACTGGAAGACCTATACCCAGACAGGCCGCACACATTTGCCCACGCACTAGCAAGAACGCAAATTACTCAATATGCTAGATCCATCCCGCAAAAACCTTCCCTACTGAGAGACTTAACGCAATTTGAACTTCTATGCACGCAGGACAGGGAACCTCCTCATGCCATCTCACAAATCTACACTATCTTAATCACGAGCAGATATCTACTAGCACCCCCGTGCATCAGAAAATGGGAGGAGGACCTTGAGGAACCTATGACAGACGCGGACTGGGACAAGAGCATTACCCTAATACAAAAGACTCCGAGCTCGGCACGCTCTCAAGAAAACTCGTACAAGATCTTTACTAGATGGTATCTGACGCCGACGGCGCTACACGCCAGAAACCAGGAACTCGAAGACACATGCTGGAGATGCGGGGAGGAAGCTGGTACGTTTATACATATATGGTGGACGTGCACTCGCATCAGACCGTTCTGGGACAGAATTAGGACAATCATACACGAGGTCACGGAGGAGCTCCTGCCACAGTCCCCAGCCGCCTTCCTCTTACACCACACCACCATGGCGACACAAACATACAAGAGATCGGCTATCCCTCGACTTCTGAATGCAGCTAAGGTGACCATCCCCATCTTCTGGAAACAGACCAGCACACCTCCCATAAAGAGATGGATAGAGGAGGTGGAAGCCACGAGATCATTCGAGGACTTGAAAGCAGAAACCCCGAACCTCAGGGACCGATATACCAAACGCTGGTTCCACTGGATAAGACTGATCTCGTCAGACTCCTTCCGGCACCATCTAACCACACCGTAACTAGTGGCAGGAGGAAGGGACCTAGGGAGACACAGGAGGCGAAAAGATGACGACGGGGCACAACGAGCCGGGCGGGGGACAGGGGGCGGGACACAGGACACATGGCCCACCCGACCCGATCCCACACACAGACGTCACAGCGACTGCCACTGCTGACTAAGACAGCCACGACGCCCGCAGACATGATGGCATACACGTGCCACACACATAACCACCGGCCAGGCCGCAACCGCTCGAGGGATGGCTAGGTATACAGCCCTCACATGAACAGATGACAGATAACACGCCGCACACTAGACCCACCACTTTGCCGCACCCTACCTCTGGACGAACAAGACATAGAATGACTACAAAATCAGGTGACAGACCAGACAATGGAGTCACAAAGACAGAGGGCCAAAGGTGTCAGACACACCACTCGAAGTAACACACGATCATACATGCACGACACAGACACGAGAGACCACGAATCACATACACGCAGACCACGCCAACAGACCGCTCCACATCATCGGACACCACTGCAGGACATATACGAGACGTCAAATACGACAGCAGAGAACTCATACTCTGACGTTAGGACATGACAGAGTTGTTAACCTCGCGACATAGACACAAGTCGATGGACATTTAAGCCGGAGAGGAGGGGAAGACATAGCCGACACAACACTGAACGTAACCCAAGCAACACACACCACACATGCGACATGCACACAACGGAGGAGACGCAACGACTGACCCAACTCACGTGAACAACGCTAAAGGGCCAACACTAACTACAGCGGCTACAGTAACTGACCACCCCAAAAAGATACATTGCTCCATGCAACATAGTGAGGGACCACATCCTACACTAATATAGGTATAGGCAAACACATACAGAGAAACACCCTAAGGGTCGTTACAGACCTGTTCAAGCACTACCGTGTCGCTCACGGACAATACCTAACCACTACGCTTCTCCCCAAGAGATACACCGATACAGCGACTATTTAAATGCAGTTACGCAACACACAACCGGGTCTCGCAAAGGCAACAAGACGCCAGCTAGATACAAAATGTTGACTACAACCACAATGTTTAGGCTGTAATAAGTTAGTGAGGTTGCTTGTACACCGCACTGTTATTAGAGCTGACACATAGTCTGTTCCCCCTACTCTATATGCTTACTCTAAAACGACATACAGGCGCCTAGAGGGTAAATACCTAAAAATGTTACTGTATTAAACGCTATACAACATCTGGCGGGTACACAAAGCCTCTGCGAAGGCCACAACCTGTGAACCTGTTCATGCAAATATAACCGGGCCTCCACGCAGGCACGGACCCGCCACTTTAACACTACGTTTGCAATGTACTATGCTAGGAATCTAACAACTAGATGCCACGGATAAGAATATATGGCACACAGCAACGAAAGGTGAACAACAATGTCACGCTAAACGGTCCTCTGCGCAGGCAACCGAATGTTTCCACCGTTATAAATTGATGCTTAAGCCCCTGCGCGGGCAATCACTTGCTTCGTTATTTGACAAAACAGTTTGATACATGCATCCATGTTATGAATACAATAAAAATATTTAAAACAAAATTAACAAATGTGTAGGCAGATGATAATTAATGATGTGAGCCTTTTGGTCAATTGTATAAACGGATATATAATAATAAAGAGATAATTGATAAAATGAATTAAGTTAAAGGAAGAGATGTAAAAAAAAAAAAACAACAAGGACATAAACATATGTTGATGTATTTTTGTTGTAAAGAAATATGTAAATTCTATATGTCATCAGTAATATCCCTAACAAACTACGGAGACAATAGTAGTACTTGAGCCGGATACAGTAATAGTTCTTAAGACAAATTTAACCGATTAATCCAAAAATAGTAATAAATGTCAAACCAAATTCAATGAGTATAATCGAGTGGAAATAAGAGACATCAAACTAATCTAGCCTATAAAAAATTAAAAAGCAGAATAATACAAA